GCGATTCACAATCTCGATAACTTCGCTCTCGACGAGTACAAAACACACACTTTACGGCTCACTAGCTCGAAAATAACAGAATCATAAATTACACTGAACTAAAAGTAACTATTGCTCTCTCTTCATTTATATCCCCACTGGCTTTCTCTGACAGGCTTATATACTAACAAAGAGGGCATCTCGAACACACTCGGTCTTCCCCGATCTTTCGAGAAACTCATCAGCAGTGTCACGTGACTTCCGCTGTTGTAACAATATAAATTACTTATATATTTAACTACTGAGGTTTGGGTTTGTGAAACCACAATTTGCTCGACATTTTTAGAAAAGGAACCTTTAAAAAAAAATCCTTTATTTTTGCTGTGGCCCACTGGGAGGCCTGGGCATATTTCTCATTATAAGCTTTATAGTAATTGTGAGTTTTTTGTTGTTATTGTTTATATTATTTGAATTATTTTTAACACTGGTTTCAATTTAACATAGGTAATAAACCAGGAAACATTTTTACTTATCAGACTGCTATATTTTACCAACTTGGGTGTAGGTTGTGATTATAGTTGCTGAAAAAAAGCAACACGTTAGTTAATATTGAATAATCTAGCTTTTATGTAGGCACTTGAATCATGTCACATGCATAGAAACTTGAACGTTTTAAATTTACTGCAGCCTATAATAAAAACTCAAGGCTACATGAACACACATATCCTGAATTTCCTGCAATTCTTTTCAAAGACACGCCTTTGTATGCACCTTTATCAGATTGTAAAGTAATTATTATTGTAATATCTAGGATTAGGCTTTCCTTTATTCCATTAAATAATGTAACTTTTCATAAGGTTTAATAAACTTGTTCTGTGTGTTAGTTATAAGTTGTGGATATCTGCAAGAGTTCTAAAGGAGGTTTATACAACGATGCACCTTACTTCAGTAAGTAATGGGTTGGATCAGAAGAAGACTTGTTTAACCAATATTTTCTTGTAAATTGAATCAAATCCAATTATATTATAAGCAAGTTTTCTATTGTTGCAAGGGTATTTTAGGCGGTGTAGACATGGCAGAGTCATGGCTTTAATGCACTGCTTTTGCCAGTTTATGGAGTGGGGCAATGTTTTGGTTTCTGTAGCAAGTCTTTCTCCAGGTCAGAATAGACTGAAGCATCGCCCCACTCTAGAAACAGGCAGTAGCAGGCCTTTAAAGTCAAAACTCTGCCAACTTTTCTATGAAATTGTTGCACGTGCACGAAAAAGGAATTTCTGAACAAAAGGAAGCATTTACTAACTTTTGTTAGCTTTGTAAACCTAGGTTTCGTATGTCCTAATAAGTTGTACTGAATAATAAATAAGGATCTTTGAAAGCTGTACGATTGTAAGGGTAAATGTATTTATATTTACTTAGATGTTGCTTTATTGTAGAATTCAGTTATGGTGGTTTCTCACATAAGAACTTGTCATTGAAACACTTGTTCTATCAATTGTACATATGTACACTTTTGCTTTAGTGAGTGATACAATATTTCACGTTACATTGCTATCTACTAGTTTTTTACTGTTATTTAGAAAATGCTTCTTCTCTCTGTTGTGATATAAGTTTGAAAACATACTTCATTTTATGTTATAGGAAGCTGCTTTCAGCATTCAAGCATATAGCTAGAGTTGGTTTCCTGGTTATTAAAAAAAATAAGAAAAAGTAATTTTTTCTTCAGGTGGGCTGGTGTAAAATTTATCTTCTAAAAAACCAGTATACTGAGCTACTTAATGTTCTGCCTTTTTTTGTTGATTGTAAATTTGTAATTAATTTGTTAATAAAGTTATTCAGGTTAGTGTTGGGTAGATATTCTGTGACTCAGAAGAGTATTGATGTAATTCATGTATTTTAAGTCTTTGGTTTTCTGTTCTTGTTTGATTGAACTCTTGAATATTAATTAGACTCCATTAGAGTCTTGTGTTAAGGGTGAGATTATGTTAAATGTAGTGATGCAATCATCTGGAAAAATTAATATATGTGTGTGTAAATACATACACACACAAGGAAATGTAATTTTTAGTTTAATAATTTTATGTGTTTCTTGCATATTTCTTGATTTTAATTTCTGTAAAAATAAACCTGGATGAATTTCATTGAATGGGTAAAATATTTTATTAACACAAATATACTGAAACTCTTGGTTTTGATGATGATAAATGCATTGCAGTTTCGTTGTTGTACTATTTATTTGTGTATTATGTATTGTTGAATTTGCAATAAACACCAGAATCCCCACCACAGATTACCTTTCTTTTATTGTTTGTAACCTCTGTAAAAATTATAAACGAACAATATTTATATTCAGGTATTACCATTAAATTTATATAATAATGAAAAAATTTAAAATATTCATAGTATTAAAATCAAATATATTAATTGGTCACGTACCTGATATAAATTTTATATTAAGTTTCTTAACATTTTGTGTTTCATAACTTAAATATTACGGATTTAGGTATTTGTTATTAGAACGTTAAAGAAAGCTGATATCTTCCTGTAAATAACAGGTGCACTTCGAATTTAGTAGAAGGAACTATTCAACAACATTGTTACGTTATTATAATTCAGCATTTTTCGTTATAAAAATGTATCCTTGTTCTTTCAGTTTTTAAGAGTGATTGTTGGTGAAGTTTGATATTTTTCTGATTTGCTTTCAACTTCTAATAAGGGAAATGAAGATTGGAGTGATAAAGGAGTTTCATTACACCTTTTGGTGTTGACAGTCTCTTTAGTAACATCTTATAATACCCCAAATATTTGTTCATGTACAACACTTGAATTTATAAACAATTAATCAGATGTGTAATGTAACTTTATTGTAGCTATGTACAATATCCAGGCAAATTTTCGCTTTCACTAATTCTTGAATCGTATTCTCTAATCTGAGAGTCGCGGTTCGAATCTCCGTCAACAAACATGCTCTACCTCTCAGCCGTGGAGGTGTTATTATGTGATGGTCAATCCAACTATTCGTTGGTAAAAGAGTTGGCGATTGGTGATGTTGACTAGCTGCCTTCCCTTTGGCCCACTGTTTTACAAACGGTGGGTTACGAGCAGGTTTCTAGGGTGATCACAAGCTGTTTACACTGATTCAATTCTTTTGTTTTGAGTCTGAGAGGTGCACATATCACCATTGTTATGAACTATGACGAGCTGCGCCAAGAAACATCAAGAATTTTTTCATCCTTGTAGAGATAATGTTGGTCGTGATAATCGAAGTTCGGACACCTGGGTCATCTGGCAAATCCGGCTGAGAAACAAATCCGGCTCTAGTCTAATAATGGCTGGAGATGGCTTGAATGGGTATTGAAGAAAAACTTTAATGTAAGTTTAACATAACAGCAAATGTACAACGTTTCGACAAGGTTTTGTCATCATCAGGTACAAGTAATTCACACTGACACGGATATATATATGCAGTATTGAACAA